CCGAAAGAACCATCTATTACTTTTTTGCAAAATACAATGCAGTTAATACTGTCGAGGCTGGATCTAAAATTGATAAGCGTGGAAGACAACCCACAGATGAAAATCAAATCATGTACGTAAAGAATCACATTTCAAGTTTTCCAACAATTGAATCACATTATTGTAGAGCTTCGACTTCAAGAAATTATTTAGAAGCGCATCTAAGTGTACAAAAAATTTATGATCTTTACAAAGCCGCCGTTAATAACCCAATGCTTCAATCTCTCTTTTTATATACCAAGAAAAGATATTTGCGATAAATGTCAACTGTATATGGTCAATGCGGCCAATTATTCTGAAGCTGAAGTACAGTTGCATGAAAAACACTTGGTAGAAAAAAGATTAACTACTGCCGAACGGGACGCTGACTTCCTGAGTATCGATACAAATGCTGCTGTTTTAATATATGACTTGGAAAACGTATTTACACTTCCAAAGATGTTCTCATCCAGCTTCTATTATAAAAGAAAGCTTAGCGTCTATAATTTTACTGGTATCCTGATTATACCCGGTCTGGAAAAGATTACATACCGTGCTTTGTGGAATGAGCCCTTAAGTAGAAGAAGTGGAAACGATATCGCCAGTGGATTAATAAAAATACTGAATTAAGTGGTTAGTGATCACCCCGAGCTAATCAAATTAACACTATGGAGTGATTCCTGCGTTCCTCAAAATCGTAATAAAATTACGTCAACTGGTATACTTCAGTTTATGCACGATCACCCACAAATCAAACAAATTTCGCAAAAATTTGGCGAGCCTGGACATTCTTCTTTACAGTAGCTTGATAGTGTGTTATGTATGCTTGTTCGAGATGGAAGTCGCGGCGGGGCAGGCATGCTGGTAGCCCGACTTGAGCTCGTCGGCCTATGGTGTGGTTACAGCCATCAACAAAACTTCCATGCCTGAAAACCATGGACATGAAGAGAAGAAGAGATAGAATGATAAGCGGTAGAAAACAGTCCGATCAGTTTATATAACCAGAACAGCCTTGGACCCCACTGTGGCTCCGTGCGCGAGAGTGGAGTCCCCTATCCTGACTTGGTCCGCCAGTCAAATAGTCACGTCAGCGTCGTCATCGATTTGTACTAGTCGCGGTAATGAACACCTCCCTAGCTCCGTTGCCCGAGGGCAACACCCACACCAACCGCAAGAACAACTACTGCCTCATATTGCTATCTGACATATCTCACCCGACAAATAAATAAATAAATACTAGAAACATAGCCTATTGTTTTCCTCCTTATTCCTTTATTAAATGATCAAAGAGGTTTACTTTATTCGAGTACTTAACCTACAACAGAATCCATTAGTTCAATATCCAAAACAAGTCTACTTGCCCCTACGTAGTGTTACTATCCTTATCACTATTATTAATACTACTACTGTATATATATATATATATACATATATGTATATTCTGTTTGTGTGTAACAGTTCACCCTAATACGATATCTCATACCACACAAGATACATCTGCGTTATACTTCACCCTAGCGATGTTTTTAAACCGAAAACCTGCTTAGCAAAACAAAACCCGATATAAATATGGACCTAGAGAGCTATCCTGCTCTTGCACGTACTAATGTATGTTATATATGCATATGTATATTTGCTTTCACTCACCTTTCCATTCCACCGATGTTGGTACCAGCACTGGCGACGAAAACTCTGGATTTACAACAATGGGCGTACATACATATATACATACTTAGAGTGGAAGTGACGGACACTCGCTACTTCCACTTGATCTCAATGGATCGACCGCGAATTAGTTCCGATTTAACTTCGCTACGGCTAAATACTACGCGTGTGTAGAAGTGTAAAAAAAAAAGTCTTTACTTAACTAAAGAAAGTGATCTGAATTCAAAAGTATTAATATGATATTAAGTTATTAGTGTTATGTTAAGTTATACTATTAAACGAGTGTCTTAGAAAGAGAGATTTAAGAGTAGCCTACCGATATCAATTCTTGCGAACAAAAAAAAAAAAATATAGATAAAAAAAGGTTTACATTGGAAGTGTTTAAATTCAATCAAGTTCAAAGTTCTCACAAAAAACCAAATAACACTAATTCCTCAAGTTTAAAAAGATAAAGATAACTAAAAATAAAAATAAAACCACAAAAGAAATTATAACAGTGCGGAAAGGTTGAAAACGGTATATAAACAAAATGTATCGGAATATGGTCCCCTTTGCTGCCTTCGTCGCCCGTCGATGCACCTGGTCGCCCACCATAAGGTCCAGGTAGACCTTCGGTTTGCCCCAGCCACGTGGAGCTCCAATCACACCAGGCCCAATTGGTTCAGCTGGCACCACCACCAGGTGAGTAACTCGTTGAATTGTCTTTCCTAGCGAGTCGGTTCTCGTTGATTTCGCCTATCTTCTCCCAACTGCCTTCCATCGCGGTTTCGATGCGCTCTGAGCCTGTCGCTCAGCGCGGATATATATCTGTCCTTTGCGCACTAAGTTTTTGTTCTGGTTCAACTTCCACCCTTATATACCTCATATATGTACACGTACGCCTATGGCGTTACGTCGATAAGTGTGCTGTATCCTCACGTTCTATCGCCAGTGGGCCTTTGGCCGCGGAAACCTCACGCTAGCTCCGCTACCCGCCAGTAATACCAGCAACCGAATTTCACCTCTATGCTACTTGGTTTGCCTCATCTTGACTATATACAAATGCACATACATATATACACGTGTACATACCCACTAGAACTTGAACAATAAAAGTATCCTCCGGGATACATGATTTCGGAGGTATAAGCGAGATTTGTTGGTTTTGTACTCCGTTATTACTCGCTTAGGAGCAAAAATCGATGTCTCCTAAGCGAGCAATCCAGGAGTATTCTTTTTAATTGATAGGAGATACGCACCTTCTTCAACATAATTTTGTGTTTTTGGAAAATGTATGAAGAAAGCAAAACAGATAACTGATGTGTACATTCATACTTATATACATATGTATTTCTTATTGAAAAATTTAAATCAGGAAACAATGAAATTAATTGGAGAGCAAATCTTTAGAGCCGCTGGTATGTATGATAGCATTTGTTTAAACTTATAAATGATTGTATTAGTTAACTCAAAATATATTTCAGATTACGGGGCCAGCAATTAAGGCGTCTACGTTCTAGCGTTGCAATCTTGCCCCGCCCAGAAAACTTACTGGGTACAGCCGGAAATTTTTCAAGGCGTGAATAGTTTGGGCCACTCCCGGGTGAATACAAGTTAAATAACTTTTCCAGGAAATCATCCTCGCCACACTTATCTTGTGGATTGTATAAAAGTATATATGTATGTATGTATAATGTTTGAGTTTGTCATTACTGTTCGATATCCGTTTTCTAATTTTAGTTAATATTGTAATAATAATTATTTATGTTTTTTTCTGTTTTTGTAATAATCAGCTTAAATCTTGTATTTATGTGCATAAGTATGTATATATGTATATGATTAAAAAATTAAATAAATGAATTGCGTAAAAAGCAAAATCTTTTTAGCTTATGTAAAATGCTCGTTATGGAGCAATGTGGGAGTAGTCTTCCATTACTCCATGAGGAGGAATTCGGGAGTATAGAGACGTTCTTTTATTACTCGTACAGGAGCCTTCCGGGATGACTCTTATGGGAGTACTCCCTTACTACTCGTTAGGGAGGAATGTGGGATGTTTTCTATGTGCACTCTCTTGTTGTCTTTTTGGGTGGTTTCTGGGAGGTAACTAAGGGAGTCCTCCTGTATTGCTCCATTAGGAGGTTTGTGGGATGATAATTCTGTGTGTGCTCCCCGATTGCTTGTTTAGGAGGTAAAAGGGATTACTCCCCCTCCTAGGACATCCAATGTTAAAGGGAGTATACAAAATTACATGCTTATACACAGAAGCATAGGGAGCAATGGGGAGTATTCGTATACTCCCAGGGGAGTACTCACCGAGCAATCGTACGATGCTCCCAAGTTCTACTGGGTAAGTTCGCCGCTACGATCTACCTACACGGACACATACATACATACATCTGTGAATGTTTGATGAAACGACTTATCTCGATTTATGTCTCTTTCAAAATAACCTTTAAACACCTCACCAACTAACGATTCATACGCGTGGTTTAAAATGCCCCTTCCCACGAGGCCTTATACACCCTTTTTTTCTTTTTAGAAGTTTATGACCTCTCAACCCATTCTAAAGTCCCTTAAGTCGCTCTTGTCAAAATCTCACAGTGTGCATGCATGCATCCCTTTGTACATGTGTTACATTTGCTGGCGATTATGTACATATGTGCTCACGTATATTGTTATGATAAAAGTTTAACATTTGCTCCATACCTTTCTGATGGCGGGGATGCTGGTTTGGGCTAGAAAATCCTCGACCGCTATTAATACCACAGTATACCAGTAGAAAAGGTTTTTGTTTTTGTAGCTGTTTCGTGGTGAAAGTCCTTTATGGGGACCAAATTTCCCCACAAGAAATTGAGCGCATGGTTTCTTTTGCGTCCCAAAAGAATGAATATTAGAAAACATTTAAAAAAATCTAAGGTAATACAATTATATGCAACTAAAAATAATCACAATAATTTGCACTTATGAGTTAATGTGATAATCATGTGTAAAAATCTTTTCAACTATTATTTTTCACAAAATAATTTGGCGGATCAGTTTGCTCTGAACGCTTCTGTTGTTTACCAAGAAAATGCAGCCCTGTTGGTTTTTATTTCTGTATCGCATCGCGGTGAGTTTCTATTTCTTGGTAATTCGGTTTGTGAAATGGTAAACAAATTATTGAAATTTATTTATTTGATGTGTATAAGATTTCATTAATGCAATTTTTTGTATTTTCAGACTATTAATTACAAGCACAGCATCATCAACGGTGATTGCAAAAACTACTGCAATCCCTGCGGGTTTTCCTCTTGGTAAATGCGTTCAGGTCGTGATCAAGGGTGGTCTCAGAAATCGGACGGGAATAAGGTTAGTCATTTTAAATTTTATATCGTTGTTCGTCGACATTATATGACATGTCATCATTGCAGGCTATTGTTGTAGAACAAAACGCCGCAACCACTGCTGTGGTAAATATGTTCCAGCAGAACTGCCCACCGCCGTCGGTGTAATGATTTCGATAGCTGAACAAACGCCATCTCCTGGGCATTCCCACAGCTTGCCGACACTAGCTATTATATCACGTGTGAATGCAACTGCGGCTTAATTTGGTTATTAACAGTGCAGTCGTACCATGTCATTGGCAAAAACACTAAGGGCTGCTGCCACATATAGGTTGTAAAGTTTTTGGTATCGATGAACATACTCGAAGAAGACGATGGCCGAAAACATATGATGAAACATCTTCTGGCATGCCTTTGACAATCGTTAAGTCAGACGGAGGCTTCACATACGATATTTCACACATGGCTGGAATTCGTTAGCGGACAGAGCACACATTTACAAAATATTTATCGTTCAGCAGAACGTGCATGCATATTCGATTCCGATTTTATGGGTCGACTACGGAGGACAACCGAACTTCAGTTGGTTGGCCAGTGGCTGAAATGGTATTACCGATGGCAACTAGCAACTGAAAGCTGGCAACTAAGTTGCTATATTGGCAAGTGCGTTTTTGTGGCTGCCGGGAATTTTTGATTGAGATACTTTATTTCTTTTTTCAACTTTTTTTTAAATTGTACCACCTTGAACTTTATGAAACTTAATTATTGCTATTCATAATAAAAAACATTTTCATTTCAGTGGCGCTGTCCATCGGCAACCCAACTGAGGTTCCGTTCCCATCCATAATCGATCCATAAGTCATAATCGCACGAACTAATCAAGGCTATCATAGAATCCATCGTAGTCCGATTTTTCGTGAAATCTACGAAAATGCTATTAAGGTCGAATAGCTACGAACGCAGCGCTTGCTTTGAATACACATATTCATAGCAGTTCAGATTCAGTGATCGCTTTTTCGTAGATTTTAAGAAAAATTGGACTACGATGGATTCCGCCACCAATATGTTTTCTCCTTTGACAAGATGTTGGAGAATCGCGGCAGCACAGCCGTATACCTACTCTATGCTCTTACGCGCATATGCTAAATTTCTCGCACCTAGCTAAAGTGCTTGACAAAGGCAGAAGGCATATCTTCAACATTATAACTTAAAGTAAAAAAGTTTAAGGCATGCAATAAAAGAATCAACAGAACCAAAAAATGTTCTCAAAACTATTAAACATAAAAAATTACACGAATAAAACTCATAATTTAAAATAAAATATCGCAATTGTTTTTTATATGTACATACATATTTACAAAATGAATCTTAAAGTACCCACAGTAAGTCCTAAACATATAAATGACTAATAAGAAAAATAATAAATAACAGTAATATGAAAAAGTATGTCGAGAAATCTCTAAATAGTAGCGAAACTGTATCTCAATAATAACAAATAATTTTAAGCAAAAAATACAACCGACTTCAATGCGCATTCAGGTCGTTCTGGTTACGTAGATCCGACTGTCTTCCTTTTTTTAAAATCGTTAAAAAAAAAATTATTACGTATTCTACAGAAAAAAATCAAGATACATATTTAAGGATTTTAAGTAAAAATAAATAAAGGAAAACTTGTTCGTGATATCTTGAGCAAGGTGTATTCATGGTACAAAAATCTGAAGGTAAAACCGTTGAAAGGCAGCCTGAACATTTTTAAAGTTTGCTAACATTACAAAAATGTTTTCAAATTTCCAATCTCACAAATACATTCTCATTATCAGTCTCAAATAAATGAAAATTTCAATATTTTCATCTATTTGTTTTTTGTTTTACCTTTAATTGGCATTTGAGTTGCTCTCAAAATTTCAATTTTATAAAATAGACAAACTACAAAAAGTAAATGATGGCCGACGAATTGTGCGGTTTTTATTTTAAATATTTGTATCATGGGTGTATTAAACAACAATGCTTTTTCTTAAAATTTCAGACCTTTCACTCAATTTTTTCAAATAAATTTAAGTGAAAGGTATGAAAATCTGAGAAAAAGTAATTGCTTAGTTTTTATGCATACGGCCCAAGGTGTTATTGACAACTCAGTGCGGCTCTCTTTTAAGATACTATTATGTAAAAAAATATAAACAAACGATTCAAAATTCGTAAAAATTTTTTTCAATTTGACTTTATAGGATGGTTCTTCTGAGAGCAATGTCAAATTCAATCACACTTTGTTAAATACATTTTGATCTCTACCAAATAATGTACTTCCTCTGTAAATATTTTATGAAGTGTTCCAAAATTCGCTCCGAGTGCGCTCACTGTTGATCATTTGATTTAAATAGTTTGTCAAATAATTAATACTATAGTTTGATCGGAGTTAATATATTCTTTAGTAGATAATTATATTATATTAAAACATAAGCTTATGAGAAACTATTTAGTCTTAACATGCATATTTTATATCGTGTTCCAAATTCGCTCCGAGTGCGTTCACTGTTGATCTTTTGATTCAAATATTGTTTGTAAAGCATTCAGTAGTGAAGTTTGATCGGAGTTTATATATTAATAAGTAATTAATCATATTAAATTGAAATATAAACGTATAATACGGTATAAAGTTAGAAATTATTTAGTGTTAATATGCATAATTCGCTCCGTGTTCCAAAATTCGCCCCGAGTGCGTTCACTATTGATCATTTGATTTAAATAATTGTCTCTCAAGCATTCAGTACTATAGTTTGATAGGAATTATATATTCTTAAGTAATTGATCACATTTTATTAAAATATAAACGTTTAATAGGGTAGAAAGTTATAAATAATTTAATGTTAATATGCATAATTCGCTCAGTGTTCCAAAATTCGCTCCGAGTGAGTTCACTATTGATCATTTGATTAAAATAATTGTTTCTCAAGCATTCAGTGTTATAGTTTGATCGAAAATTATATATTCTTAAGTAATTGATCACATTTTATTAAAATATAAACGTTTAATAGGGTAGAAATTGTGAAATTATTTAGCTTTAGCATGTATAGTCGGCCAGAGACAATTGCAGAAAACTGCAACTACTCGTGAAAACTTACAATAAAAGCAATGTAGATGAAAGTACTAAATATTATTATTATTAAAATTAGATCCATATATAAAATATTTTACATAATTTATTTGAAGTAAGTCGGGATATATTTTTACATATAAGATAGTTTCCATTTAACTCATAAAGTACATATTTCACTACAAATATTTTTAAGATCACTTCGAATTGCAAAAATAGCGCTAATTAGTTGTATTGAAGTATAAAACATTTTATGACGCCCATGTTTACTTATAAAGCGCATAACAATATTTCTCTCGCCATTTATCCGATGTTAAAATTTTTCACCACATTATTTTGCTGCACAGCACCCTGATATATATAGATATAGAGTATTTATACTGTGATTAATACCGCAGCAAGCCACGATCACCGGTAAATATCTATATATATACTCTATATATATATATATATATATATATATAATACACGCAAACTTTTTCAATAAGTAATGGTATATAAAAACAATGAACTCTGGAAAAAAGCTAATATTTTATCCAACCAAGAACCTTTTTGTATAAAAGGGGAAATATACGACACCAGCTTGCTGGCTCCATCAAGTGATTGTACTATCAGGCTCGAAGCATATAACTTACCAGCATGCTGGTACAATATTTATTTGTTTACAAATGAGGTCGAGGAAAGCTCGAAATGATTAGAGCCGAAATTTCATAATTTTTCTATCATTTTGTTAAACATTTAAACATTTTTTTTTGTTTTTTTAATTCACAACTGCAGTATCGTGAAGTTAATCTTCCACAAACACGGCTTTGACTCATATAGTGCAAGAAATTTCCGCCAAAATACTTTTTACTTAGAAAATTTAGCTAATTTCACCACATAAAATTTTCAAATAGTTTTTGAAGTCGCACCAGCAGCTGGTACAATCACACCACAAGAACATACACGGTCAATCGACTTGATGGGCCATTTAACAAATTAAGCATATTAAGGGCCGTAAACTTATCTATTTTAAACTATATTTAAATCGTTAATAGATAAGTTAACAGCCCTAACACTTTTACAGTATGTATGTATAAAAATTCATCTCTTACATAAATAAATCAAAATGAGATCAAATTAAGCATATACTACTTTTTCATGCCAAGTATGAATAAATCATCCGAAGGGCTAAAAAAAGGGCTAGGGGCAATTTTAAATTTATGTGGCCAAAAAAAATATGTGGTAGCTAAATCTAGCCACCAAAGGACTCAAACGGCAACACTGCTGCCAACATGCTCTTGGCGCCAGCAGAGAGTAAAGCAACCACAGTATAGACAGTAACCAACCCTTTTGGGTTGTTGTTGTAGTAGTCGTTGTTGTTGTAGTTATATTCACTCCTGAGGAAGGCACGGGGTTGTGTGCAAATAGCCTTCCTCAGACTTTTTCTTAGATTTCAGGGTTGTGTGCTGTATTATTATTAGATAAATAAATTTAAGTATTTGTCAAATCGTGATTTTATTAAAAGAAAATTATAAATGGTGTTGAAAAACCAAACAAACGCTCGTGCGAAAGCTCTATTTTTGTGTATTGTTAAAATATATATACATGGCGTACTTATTCTTTTGTGGACTTTATGTTACTTGAGAATTTAGACAACGTGCGAGCTGCCAGGTTCTGTTATCAATATAATTAACACAAGCTTTTCCGAGTGGTTGCCTTTCAATAAAAAGAATAAACAAATATTCGCAAATAAATTGGATTTATTTTATAACTGACAACTAACCTACGCTTTTTGTTCTTTTCTCCATTTTAATTTTGACTCCTTATTACCGCCAACAACTTTATGTGTATACATATTTACAAGCTGTCAAAATTTTGCGTAGTCCCACGAGCTAGGTAAAAACTATGGCATTCGTATTCACAACGAGAAATCTCAAAATTTTTGTTTGGTCTTTCCAAATTTTCTCTTTTTAATCAGTTGGCAAAGGCCCTCAGTGGCAGCGCTCCGAGCGTTGAGATAGTAATTTCATGTCAATTAGTAGAAAAGTTCCATGTTGAAAAAACTTTTTATTATGGCGAGAAAATTTTACATTTCTGCTGTGCCAATTCGTAACTTTTTACTGTTGGAAATTTTTGACAGTTGCTCTGGTTCAAAAGAAGTTGAACAATTAAAATCAGAAATTATACAAAAAATACTTGTCTTTACTGACATTTATTCTTCTAGAACTAAAAGCCATGCATTTATTAGACGCCTTAGTAATAAAATCAAACCATCAGGCCGGGTTGAAAATTTTCATTCACCTCATAGTTAACAAAAATTTACAATCCGTAGTACTTTTCTATCAATTCGCAAATGCGTTTAATTTAAATCGTTTAGAAAATGCGTCATTTATGTATACCATTTTATGTGGAATTATTCAGTAAATTTCGTTTTACACTATACTTTTTGAAACTATTTGGAGTTAATTTTATTTTGTTTCTTAAAAGCAACCCTGCGTGCTTGGAAGGCGTGTGTACCAATAATTTCATCCCTAGCATATTCATCCCCGAGGTAGGCAGTCGCCAAATTCACCGAAGGTTGTTTATTGGTTATATTGTGAAAGCAACTCAGTAGAAATCGGTTGTATGCATTCTTGATGGATGCTTGCTATATGAGTGAATTAGTGTGAACAATTCATGCGTAGTCATGAATTTCCACGAATAAATTCAAATTCTAGCGAATTGCAAGCGAATGTACGTTGTCGTTGTTTTAAGTACATTTCTTGATAAATTTGAAGTGGAATTTTTGTAATATTTTCAGTCTTGTACAAAAATTTTAGTGAACGGACGTGTTGTGCGATACTATTATCAGCACAAACGGGCTTTTACAAGATATGCATTTGCATATGTAAGTGCTACTTGTTTGTATGTCCCCGTATATTGAAATGTATCAGAAAAGTAGCATTTACATATGGGGATTTTGTAAGAATGCTTTAATACTGTTCCATTAATGCATTTTTGTATGTTTGAAACATTAATACAGCCATACGCATACAATAGTAGTACAAATGTATGATTAAGGTACGCATACGCTCTGAGAAACCACGCGTCCCAGTAGAAATCGGTTGTATGCATTCTTGAAGAATGCTTGCTATATGAGTGAATTAGTGTGAACAACTCATGCGTAGTCATGAATTTCCACTAATAAATTC